AACACATATCAGAATGTTAAAATATCATTTAAAGGTTTATACCACGTCTGTCTCAAATATTCCAAATAATTTAGCACACTAAATTAGGCTTTATTACGATGTTTATGTACTTCATATGTTGTAGCTAACGGTTAGCTCGCTAAGCTACGTCTTTTCTTACCTTGATGGCTGTGGATATATTCTTCATGGAAGAACTTTTATCCTTTCAAGTTTAGTTTTCTTCAAGTTCGGTGTTTGAATGTGATAAAGCACTGATTAGTCTCTTTAGAATGATTTGTTCAATTAGCTTTGTAGAGATCTAGTAGAGTGCTGTATGAATGGGTCAATGAGGCACAGATTGTAATGTAAAGAACTTTGAGTATCTTGAAATAAGATTGAAAGGCACTATATAAGTACAGTCCATTTACCATTTATTGGTTTGAGAATTCACTGCTGCGATTTCTTCCACATCAGCGAAAGAAAAGCCTGGCATTTGCATAGACTCGCGAAAGCCGCAATTAACCCAGCACCATGAGACGTTACTTCCGGTTGTCGTGAAAAAGGTCTATTGGAGCTGCAACTTTTTTACGATGAAAAATCCTTTGAAAGATTATACATTGCCTGGCCAAAAAACAAGTCTCAACCTGGATTTAAGTAATCAAACAGGTCCAAGTCTCCTGTTGGATCATCACTGCATGGATGATTATCTTTCAGCTACAACGTTATTTAACTCCAACTGGTGCAATGAGTTGCTTCTCATTTCTTCAACAACCATGATGAAAGACTCATGACGTGGTCGTGGAAAAGATGTCCGTCTGTTGGAGAAGGGTCAACTCATTGGCATCAATCAGAGGAAACATCTAAGGAGATTGTAGAAAGTAAAACTGGGTTAAGAACTGTCCAACACATTATTAAAAACTGGAAGGATAGTGGGGACCCATCGTCTTCCAGGAAGAAATGTGGCCGGAAATAAATCCTGAATGATTGTGAGTATTGATCATTTAAACGTTTGATGAAATCAAATGGAAGAAAAACACCAGTAGCACTCAGGGCTGTGGTTAATAGAGACAGTAAGAACATTTCCACACACACAATGTGAAGGAACTCAAGGGACTGGGACTGAACAGCTGTGAAGCCTTAAGAAAACCACTAACCAGTGAGGCTAACTGGGAAAAAAGGCTTCAGTTTGTTAGGGAGCATAAAGATCGGACTGTGGAGCAATGGAAGAAGGTCATGTGGTCTGATGAGTCCAGACTGACCCTGTTCCAGAGTGATGGTGCATCAGGGTCAGAAGAGAGGCAGGTGAAGTGATGCACCATCATGACCAGTGTCTCGTCATCATTGAAAGATCTTGGTGAAAAATTAATGCAACACTGGATGAAATAGATCTTGTGACATTGAAGAAGTTTATTGAAACAATGACACAGAGAATGAATGATGTGATCAAAGCTGAAGGAGCTCCAACCAAATATTAGTGTGACCTTTTTTTCACAAACCACTGCATCTACCTCTCCGCTCTAACCCTGTCAGAAAAACAGAGTCACTAATCTGGGCGTGATAATGGACCCTTCCCTGAAACTTAACAATCATGTAAACATGATTGTTAAATCATGCTTCTTCATCCTGAGGCGGCTGTCTAAACTGAAGCCCATATTGTCCAAAAAGAACCTGGAGACAGTAATACATGCATTCATTACATCTAGGCTTGATTACTGCAATTCGCTCCTGTTTGGTGTCAGTCAGACCTCCATTGCACGACTACAACTTGTCCAGAATGCAACAGCCCCATTTTTAACCAGTACAGGCAAAAGAGAGCACATTACACCAGTTTTGGCCTCACTGCACTGGTTACCGGTTCACCTTCGAATCCAGTTCAAAATACTCCTGTTTGTCTACTAATCACTGAACAGTGTCCCCCCCCCATCTCTCTGATTTGCTACAACCGTATGTCCCACCACGTTCCCTGAGGTCAGCGGACCAGTTGCTCCTCACAGTTCCAGGAACTCGTCTTAAGCGCAGAGGTGACAGGGCCTTCTCTGTAGCAGGACCAAGACTTTGGAACGAGTTACCTCTGCTTGTCAGACAGGCCCCCTCCCTCTCGGTTTTCAAGTCCCGTTTAAAAACTCACTACTATTCAGCAGCTTTCAACACCAGATGATCTGTGTTTTGATCCTGTATGCTCCACACTGGTTTGTCGTCATTATCTGCATCGTTTTTATGTCTATATTCTGATTGACCTCATTTTGTATTTTGCTTTGTGTGTTACCTGTTGTTCTGTCTGTACAGCACTTTGGTTGGCCTTGTTGCTGTTTTAAGTGCTTTATAAATAAAGTGGTATGGTATGGTACCGACTTTCTTTTTGGCCAGGCAGTGTAAGAGTGGTTAAAGAAGAAAGATCTCTGCCCTTATTGCTTCAAATTTGCATAATACAAAACTTTTATTCTACACTGTAAACTCTGTAATTTAAAAATCCCTAATTTCTAATTAATTTTCTTCTGAGAAATGTATTTTTTTCATTTTTTATTAATAAAATCTCTATCAGAGCTCAAATTGTGCCATCTGCCACTACTAGGAAGTAAATCACTTTTTCAGTTCATTTAGCCTCTTAGGCTGAGTTAATAAGGACTACCAACTGTATGAAACCTTCCTAATCTTTTTTAGATGTTTTAACAACAACATTTTTTAAGGACATTTGTCACTTTTTAATTCCTGATATTCTGTCAGTTTTTAACAAATTATCTACAGGAGTAGTTCCCAAAACATTTAAACTGCTGCTGTTGAACCATTATTGAAGAAACCCAACCTGGATTGTAACGATCTTAACAACTTCAGGACGATCTGTAACTTACCCTTTATTGTGAAAATTTTAGAGAAAGTTGTGTACTCTCAGCTCTTAACTTATTTAAACCAAAACTCACTTTTTCAAAATCTAAAAAAGTTAAATCTGGTCCTCTGGACATTCAAAAAAACAAAACAAAGCAAAACAACAACAACAACAAAAAAGTAGAAACGTTTCGTCTTTCATCCTGAGGACTTCCTCATTCTGAGGTGCTGTATTCAGCTCAGTCTCTTAAATAGCACCTTCTTAGAGTGGATCAACCAGTTTGCTGCTGACAACCAGAACCAGCTGATCACATGCTCAAGAAGGACCATCAGCCTAACAATGGATCATAAGCACCTGATGGCTGTTTACTGTTCACAGAGGGCTGAGTGATACTAGCAATCACAGCATTGTAAGAGGGGGACAGTTGAACCCGGAGGCTCCGCCCCTGTTTAATGATGGACGGTTTCTTTTCACAAAGATGGCCTCCTTTACTCCTCTCTCAAACCATCGTTCCTCTCTGTCCAGGATGTGAACATCTTCATCCCTGAAAGAGTGACCGCTGGCCTGTGGAAACATCGTCTTTCCTTTTATTGTTATGCTGATGACTCTCAGATCTATCTGCCATTAACACCTAACAGTTCCTCCTCCATTCACCCTTTGTGAAAATGTCTTGATGACGTCAAGACTTGGATGGCTGCAAACTTCTTGAGTTTTAATGATCAGAAGACTGAGGTCATTGTGTTTAACCCAAGCTCTACCACTGTCACTGATCCTGTAAACCTGGACTCCCTTCAGCCTCATCTAAAACAGTCAGTTACCAATCTCGGGATAGTTTTAGACTCGGACTTTAAGTTTAATAAACAGATAAATTCTGTTCTTCAAAAAAGCTTCTTTCAGTTAAGGCAGATAGCAAAGCTCAAGTCCGTCCTGTCCAGATCCGACCTTGAAAAATGAGTCCATGCATTTATTACAACCCGGCTGGACTACTGTAACTCACTTTATGCTGAGGTCAGTCAGGTCTCTCTCACGTCTCCAGCTTGTCCAAAATGCTGCAGCTCGGCTACTAACAGGAACTCACAGGTTTGAGCACATTACTCTGGTTCTGTCCTCTCTTCACTGGCTTCCTGTGCATGTCAGAGTTGATTTTAAGATTCTTCTGCTGACATTTAAGTGTGTTAATGGCCTTGCACCCTCATACCTCTCTGACCTTCTTCATTCTTATACTCCTTCTCGGGCCTTAAGATGATCAGACCAGCTGCTTTTGGCCGTACCAAAAACCAGCTGAAGCTCAGAGGAGATCGAGCGTTTTCAGTCGTGGGCTCTAAACTCTGGAACAATCTGCCCATCAACATTCGACAGGCCACCTCAGTCTCTATTTTTAAATCTCTCCTCAAAACATCTGTATTTGACATTTAACACAGGGTGATCTCATTTGGTATTTCATTGTTGATGATTGTGTTCATCCAGTTTGCTTTTACTCCCTGACATTTAATGCAGGGTGATTTGATTATTACATTGTTTCTAATTATATTTTATGTTTTTATGCTTTTATTCATGATGCTGTAATATCTTTTTATTAATATTTGAACCTGTGGTCTTTTTTGGTAAGCACTTTGATAAGTTACTGTTTTAAATGTGCCAAATAAATAAATGTGACTTGACTTGACTGTTGACTGCTAGGGATTCAAACTGCTTTGGGATTGTCTTAGCAGAGACCAGTTGAGAATCCAAGCTTGCTCTGATGTAAATTGTGACTCCACCTTCCTTTATCAGATGGTCAACCTGTTTATTTATTTTTTGTCAATTAAACTGTTATTAGCCCATTATTAACCTTTTATTTTCTGTTATTAGCATGTCAACCTGTTCTCAACCTGTTATTAGCCTAGTATTTACCAGTTATTAGCCAATTATTTACCTGTTAATTACCTGTTATTAGCCTGTTATTAACATGTTATTAGCCTGTTTATTATTAGCCCACTATTTACCTGTTATTAGCCTATATTTAGCGGTTTTATCCTGTTATTAACCTGTTATTAGCCTGTTTGTTATTAGCCTTTTATTTACCTATGTGCCTGTTATTAGCCTGTTATTTACCCATTATTAATCTGTCATTAGCCTGTAGCCTATTATTTACCTGTTATTAGCCTGTTTGTTAATAATTGTTTTAGTCTCTAATTAAACTTTTTTATTTTGTCAGTTTGAAGGTGCTCGGCTGCAGAGGGAGATGAAGACATACATGTCTGCAATTAAAGGTAACCCATCAGTTGTGGCTCATCGGAGCCCTTAAACCAACATTTGATAGCTTGTGTGAGCTTCACAAACAAGGTGGCTAAAGATGGTGCCTGTGTATGCGGCATGCCTTTGGTCTGTATGTTTGTGATCTGTTTGCTGCTTTTAACCCTAAACTTCAGCTCTTTAATTGTGTAAGATGGCCAAACACTTTAGATCTTTGTTTTTGCTCAAGCTCTAGACAAGTTTACATGTTGTAGATCAACAATGCTACCTCCATTTCTGGTAGAAGTCCCTTCATCTCTCTGCTGGGCCTTGACTCTACTTTGTCAGTTTGATCATCACCGCCGCTGTGGTAAACATGGTGGTTACCTGGTTAAGAGCAAGGCCAAGTTGTTTTGTTTGTTCATGGCTCCCTGGATTGAGTCTGGAAAGGCTGCATCTAAGCATTGGCCTGCTTCTCCATCTGCTCAAATGGAGTCGTCCAGCTCCACTTTGCCTTCTCCCCACATTCATGAGTAAACCTACGAAAACTACGACTGCTGAGTCGGGCTTCCTGGGACGCTAGCACATTTGGACATACTGACTCCTGCTGATTTTGGCTTGATAAATGCTAGATTTCTAGAAATTGGATTTAGTTTAGATTACTCTAATTGTGGGGACAATGACAGGCCAAGGTAGAGTGCTGGCTGACATGATGTAGAGAAGGAAGGTAGATGATTTATGAGTCCAAAGCCCCTTATCCACAGGTCCGGTTCTTGTAGGACCCTATTGGGCCTTATTTAGGCCATTTCCGGTGGGACCAGTTTATTTGTCTCCACAGTGCCCATAGTTCCCCTTTAGTGGGCGGATAGTTCACTTTTAGTGGACAGATCATTAATATCAACGTGTCTTACCAGCTAGTGGTGCTAGTGTTACAATAAGCTCTTTACTAACCACCACTAACATGTATTAGAAGAAACAGAGCTGGAAAATAGCACACAACCAAAATGGATGATCTGGTTTCTGTTTTGAACATTCTGCTTTGCCTGTGGCTTTTTCTCCCTTTTATGTGCATATATATATATGTACATAAAGGGTCATGTAAAAATTCCATCAAATTGTTTTTTGTAGCGGCTATATATTTTTTTGAAACTTTACTCTAACATTTATATATAAATATATGTGTATATATATGTGTGTGTATATATATGTGTGTGTATATATGTGTGTGTATATATATGTGTGTGTATATATGTGTGTGTGTATATGTGTGTATATATGTGTGTGTATATGTGTGTGTATATGTATATATATGTGTGTGTATATGTATATATATATGTGTGTGTATATGTATATATATGTGTGTGTATAT